CAAAAAAAAAAAAAAAAAAAAAAAAAAAAAAAAAAAAAAATTGGACTGAAAGAGTGTAATAAAAGCTAGAAAGTTTTCATCGGCTTTTTGGGGTTATATGAAATATGATTACAGTTTGCTTAATTGATTGATTGATTTAGTGTGGTGGGTGTTAAGCCCAGGGCTTTCACTGTGAGGTACATCCCCGGTTCTTTTCATTTTTTAATTTTGTGTTAGGATCTCTGTAAGATGTTAAGTTGCCCAGGCTGGGCTCAAACTTGTGCTGTTTCTGCCTCAGCCTCCCAGATGCTTTCATGTTGACCACACAGATGAAAACTTTTTCCCTGAGCTTTTGCAAGATTATGGGTCTCTTTCTAAATCCATAACCCCTATTTTGAAGTCAAAACATCAGATCTTACTTAAAAAAATAAAAATAAAAATGGAGGTACCATTTTTATGACTTGATGACTGTGCCACCACTCGTGACAAATCGTATCAGCACGATTCACACCTTTGCTTTGAAGCAGGCACGTCGAAGTCCAGGTGTTTGGCGATCACCATGGCAACGCAGTATACTTGTTCGAACGAGACTGCAGCGTACAGCGGCGACATCAGAAGATCATCGAGGAGGCCCCCGCGGTAGGCGCCTTCTCGGTCCTGTCATTTTCATTTTCACGTCTGTGTCTGCGGGCCGGGGATGTAGCTCGGTGGTTCCGCCGCCGGCCTCACATCAGCATCTGTGGGACTCCTGCCCCCCGCACCCGCAAAGCAGCGCCCGGGAACTGCGCAGCGCTGAGACCGGAGCGGGGCAGGGGAGGCTCGGGTCCCTTCCGGGTAGAAAGGGCCCAGCCGCCCGGCGTGGCTCCGGCGAGCAGCTGGTAGTGGAGTCGCAGGGCCTTTTCTAACTGTTGCGAACTGCAGTTAATTACGGGAACGGAACGCGATGGTCTGTTAATTAGATGCGTTTTTATAGGGAAGATTTTGTCTTAACAACTGTTCCTTTCAGATGCTCCTGGAGTGCATTAGTCATTTTCCTGTCCTAACGGTGTGTCGGGGAAAGAGGGTCGCTGTCATTTTTGAATTTTCCTCTTAACTGGCTTAGGTTGCTATCCGGGTCACAGACGACCTGGGGTTTTCTTCTTTCAATGTATATTTCTAAAAAATCTGGGATCTGACATTTTTAGTTAATGTTTGTTATTCCTACGTTGTATTCAAAATGTACTTTCTGTTGCAGTCTGTTTGTGCTGTGTGAAGTACATGTCAGTAATTACCATACAGCCTATTTTCAAGCTGTGATTGCAATGTCCCCAATGTATCTGTAGAGCACTATTTTAAGTGGTAAGATAAACTTTGTTTACTTTTTTTTTGTTTTGTTTTTGAGACAGGGTCTCACTATGTAGTCGAGACTGACCTGGAACTCACTATGTAGCCCAGGCTGGTCTCAAACTCACAGCGATCCTCCTGCCTCAGCCTCCCGAGTGCTGGGATGACAGGCGTGCACCACCATGCCTGGATGCCTACCTCTTTATATATTTCTTTGTATGAATCTTGCATATTAACTCAGAATCTCTGGATTTCCCTATACCCCAAGAAATCATTAGGCACTTGATTCAGATTGCTCTATTATCCTGAAGCAAAAGGGAACCACCGAAAGTTTTCATATTGATAGAGTCATTTAGATAGCTAGGAAAGTTGTTATATAGATATAAAGGATAATGATATATGGTTATGCTGAGTAAAAACTATAATCATAGGGCTGGGGATTTAGCTCACTGGTTCTACCACCTGCCTCGCAGGCACAAGGTCCTGAGTTCAATCCCCAGTACCAAAAAAATTTAAAAAAGCAATAATCATGGATACTAAGTTTTTCTATGTTGACAAGATTTTTTTTTTTTCTCTTTGTGATACTGGTGATTGAACCCGGGACTCCACACAAGCTAGGAAAGTGCTTTACACTGAGCTACATCCCCAGCCCTGGTTCTTTTTTATTTTCAGACAAGAGTCTCACTAAATTGCCTAGGCTTCCCTCAAATTTCCAACTCTCCTGCCTCAGTCTCTTAAGTTGCTGGGATTACAGTCACATACCACTGTTCCTAGCTAGTGCAGGCTTTCTTGTTTTTGTTTTGAGACCGGGCCTCACCATGTAGTTCAGGCTGACCTTGAACTCACTGTGTGGCACAGGCGGGCCTTGAATTTATCGCAGTCCTCCTGCTTCAGCCTCCCAAGTGCTGGGATTAGAGGCCTGCGCCACCACACCTGGCTCTCCTTATCTTTTTAATGCAGTTATTTGATACATAAAAATATAAAGTCACTGTATTCTGATGGAAATGTTTGGTAAGGCAAGGTATTAATGCAAATGTTTTGAATTTTCATAGCCTGGTATCAAACCAGAAGTGAGAAGAAAGCTTGGAGAAGCTGCAGTCAGAGCTGCTAAAGCCGTAAATTATGTTGGGGCAGGTATGTTAGAAGTGTTTTTACCAGGAGAGACAAACTAAACTCATTTGTTTTTAGTTTCAGAAGGTAAAAGAGATTGTTTAGTTTTTGTCTGTTTGTTTGTTTTTTGACCTAGGTTCTTGCCGTGTAGCCCAGGCTGACCTCAAACTCAAATGGACCCTCCTGCCTCAGCCTCCTGAGTGTTAGGATTACAGGCGTGCGCCACCACACCTGAATGGCTTTTGTTTTTTTGTTTTTCACAGCATATTTGCCTTGTAATAAGTTACTGTTGTCTGTTTATTGGTTAGCTTTTGGAGGGGGCACCAGGGATCAAACTCAGGTCCTTGAGCTTACAAGGCAGGTGGTGGAACCACTGATCTGTGTCTCTGGCCCTGTTGGTTAGTTTTTAAAATTCTCATGTCTGTATTAATAAGTAAAATGACATACATGTTTCCTTTTGCTGTGACCAGAGGACAATAGGCTAGAATTTCGACCACGTTAAAAGAGATTCTGATGCCCTAGGACCCCAGCTCCTTGAGCCTCATGGGAAACATAGACGTGGCTGGCTTGTAAATTGGTGGCTTTCAGGTGGTTTGTTTTTTGTTTTTTCTTTTTTTGGGCAGGATCTCACCATTTAGTCCAGACTGGCCTTGAACTCACTGTGTCACCCAGGCTGGCCTTCAGCTTTCAGGTGATCCTCCTGCCTCAGCCTCCCGAGTGCTGGGATTACAGGCAAACACCATTACATCCAGGGCTGTCGTACCTCACAGAATAGCTTCCCACCCTAAGAATCCTCTGTGCTCTGCCTACTCCTCCTCAGCCCCCTAAACCCTCTCTGGTGCCCCCTCAGTGTGTCTTTGTAAGGTGCACATAGTGTAGTCGCACAGCACACGGCCTTTCCGGGTTGGCCTCTCCCTGTTACTCATCCGGGTCTCAGTTTCGTCCATGTCGTCTCACCGCTTCCCCATTCCTCTCTCTTTGGTGCTGAATGATGTCCCATTGTCTGTGCACACTGGAGCTTATGTGTCCACCTCCTACAGACAGAAATCTGGGTCACCTCCCAGTTTTGCAGTTATGGGTCGAGCTGTTATAAATACTTAGATGTGAAGCCAGGTGTGGTGGCGCACGCCTGTCATCCCAGCACTCGGGAGGCTGAGGCAGGAGGATCGCTGTGAGTTCAAGACCAGCCTGGGCTACACAGTGAGTTCCAGGGCAGTCTCAACTACATAGTGAGACCCCGTCTCAAAAAACCAAAAAACCAGACCAAACAAAAAAACTTAGATGCGAGATTTTATGTGGACGTAATCTTCTTCAAGTTCAGTCAAGAAGCAGGGTTGCCAGATCACGTAGTAAGCGTATGTTTAGTTTTGGAAGAAGCTGCCACAGCATCTTCCACTGAGCCTGTACCATCGCCTTCCTGCTGCGTGGCAGTGAATTGAGGCTTCCGGTTCCCCAGGGCCCTGCGTTTAGTCATCAGGGTTTGGGTTTTGACGAGTTGGATTCTTGCTGTTTTGGTTTGTACTTCCCTGATGATATGTGATGTTGAATATTTCGCATGATGTTCACCTGCCATCAGCATATCTCCTTTATGAAGTGTCTTTGCAGGTCTTACACACATTTTAAAAACCTGATTGCTTGTTTTCTTATTGTTTTTGAACCAGACTTGCTAAGTTGCACAGGCTGGCCCTGAGCTCATCATCCTCCTTCAGCCTCTCAGTAAGCTGGGATTATAAGCACAGGCCACCTGTCCAGCTTGTTTTCTTCTTTTGAATAACAATCCTATATCCCATGTGCCTTTTACAAACCCTCTCTCAATGTGAGGCTTGTGATCTCGTTCTCTTGAAATTGTCTTTTTTTTTTTTTTATACTAGGGATCGAACTCAGGACCTTGCCTTTTCGAAGCAGGCAGTGGAACCACTGAGCTAAATCCCTGGCCCTTGAAATTGTCTTTTGTAGATGAGAAGTTTTGGTTTTTAAAAAAAATTTTAATGGCCGGGCATGGTGGCACATGCCTGTAATCCTAGCCCTTGGGAGGCTGAGGCAGGAGGATCTCTGTGAGGTGTTAGTTAGAGACCAGCCTGGGCTACATAGTGAGTTCCAGGTCAGTCACAACTACATAGTGAGACCCTGTCTCAAAAAACCAAAAAAAAAAAAATTTAATGATGTCCAGCTTATCATTTCTTTCATGCCTTTGGTGTTATATGTAAGAAGTCATTACTGTATCCACAGTTATCTAGATATTCTCAGTTTTGTCTAGGAGTTTTGTGGTTTTGTATTTTACAGTTAGACATATGATACATTTTGAATTAATTTTTGTAAAAAGTATATGCCCTGTGTCTGCACCTTCTGTGGTTTTGAGTGTTTTATATTTCATTTCTTACCTTAGCATATTAATATGTCTTTTTTTTGGTTTTCTCAGTAGTAGCCCTAGAGTTTATAATATGCATCCACAGCTAATCCAAGTCCTCTTTCTTTTCTTTTTTTTTTTTGGTACCAGGAATCAAACTCAGGATCCTGTGCTTGCGAGGTAGGCAGTGGAACCACTGAGCTAAATCCCTGGCCTCTTTTTTGGTTTTTTTGAGACAGGGTCTCTCTATGTAGTTCAGGCTATGTAGTTCAGGTATTATCGGTGCGTACTACCTACCACCCTTGGCCCAGATCTACTTTAAATAGCAGTATATGGCTTCACTTACACTTATCTCCTACCTTATAGTAATAAAATAGCCCTAATTTCTCCCTCTTGTCCCTTCTGCTATTGTATTCATGCATTTTATTTCAACATAAGCTGTAAATGTGTTACCATATATGAAGTTGTTGTTCTTATTATTTTGAATAAACTCATCTATTCAATCAGTCAAAGAGAGTGGTGCTCAGTGGTTCCACCTCCTGCCTCTCAAGCGCAAGGTCCTGTGTTCGATCCCTGGTCCAAAAAAAAAAAAAAAAATCAGCCAAAAATAAGAGAATTAACATTTTATTTTACCTTCATCTGTTCATTCTCTGATGCTCTTCCTTTCTCTATGTGAATACGAGTTTCTTGCATGTAGCATTCTCCTTGTCTCTGAAGAACTCTCTTAACATTTCTTGGCAAGTGTACTAAATACATTCATCGGGCACCGTCAGGACACCGCACTTAAGATGATAAAGCCCAGCGTGTAAACTTCAGGGCTGCGGGCCTGGTGGGTGTGAGGGTCCAGGAGCAGGGCGGGAGGGAAGAGGAGAGGAGGGATGAAGGGGAGAGGTTATAGGCTTCCCTGCGCTCAGTGCACGCGTACGGCTTACACGGCAAACCGCTCTCCTTTAGAAGAAGCTGCTGAGGGCGCACAGGGAAGCGGGGAACGTGTTTCCTCGGTGCAGAGAGCACGATGGTAGCGGTGTGAGGCGGGGGCATCTTTGACTCCGCCGAAACACGGTCCCTGCACCGCGTCCCCGCCCTCCGGGACCGACTCAGAGCCTGGTTCACCCTTAGCTCATGACCCCCGATTCGCCTTTCCGTGACGAGATTGCACGCCAAGCCCTATTTTCAACTTGGACTCATTTGGTGCTGCGAGATGTGGGATGTTTTCTTCACGAAAAGTGAAACGTTTGTGACTAAACCACGGCAGCCGGGACACTGTGTGGGATCTCGGTGGGCTGCTGACTGTACACTCTCGATGCATGGCCTGTTGTGTTTCACCTCCCAGGCACCGTGGAGTTCATTCTGGACTCGCAGCACAACTTTTACTTCATGGAGATGAACACGAGGCTGCAGGTAGAACATCCTGTTACCGAGATGATCACGGGAACTGACTTGGTGGAGTGGCAGCTTCGGGTGAGGACGTGTTTCTGTCAAAGGTCACCCTGTATCAGGGCATTTCTGTGGTACACAATGAGCGTACTCGGTACAACACTCCATCTCCGGAGTAGGCGGCCTCTGGCCTCCCCAAAGAGGTGTCACTTCGGACAGGATTTACCTCCCGGTGGTTGTGACGGGACAGGAAAATGAGAGGTGAAAAAGTGGCGCGAATCCGGGCGTGGTGGCGCACTCCTGTAATCCCAGCACTTGCTCCGGAGGCTGAGGCAGGAGGATTGCTGTGAGTTTGAGACCAGCCTGGGCTACACAGGGAGTCCAAGGCCAGCTTGAACTATACAGTAAGACCCTGTCTCAAAAAAAAAAAAGAAAGAGAGAAAGAAAGAAGGAAGGAAGGAAGGAAAGAGTGTGCATAGAAAATGGCCTAAGAAAAGGGCAGTTTCATCCTCCATTATGATGACACTCCGTGTGACTCTTCTCTTCTGTTGAGCTGGGGACTTAGCTCAGTGGTGCCGCCACCTACCTGGCCAAGCATAAGGAGGTCTCAAGTTTGATCCCTGGTATAAAATATATATCAATAAATCAATCTGAAAATCAATATATGTATTGTGTGCTGTCAGCCAAAGTCAGATGACCATGAAAGGTAAATGTTGTGAATTGATGCAGGACACAAGGCCAGCAGACTCCCAGAACTGCCTGAGGGTGTGGCAGGATGGATGGGTTTGAGGCGCGGGCAGTCTTTGGCCATGTGTCTTTTACTGTAACACATTTTTTTCTAATACAAATGTTCACCATATCTTTTACCACACCCATATACCCATAGCTGTTCTGTACTGTGGAGAGTTGGAGGAGCACTGGTATAAACCAAAGTCCCATAAAACATATTCCTCTAAATATTAATAGTAAGAGCTCAGTCTCCTTTTCTTCTCTTTATTGAAAACAGTTGATTTTAGCTCATCCTTCTTTTTTAATATGAAAAACAAAGTTTTGTTTGTTTCGTTTTTTAGTGCTGGGGGATTGAGCCCAGCACCTTAGCATGTGCTAGGCAAGCATGCTCCCAACTGAGCCACACTTCCAGCTGCCCAAATTTTTAAGTCTTGTGAATGTTCTTGACTCCTATAGAATTTTTGTGTGGGATACTTGGGGTTGAACTCAGGACCTTGTGCTTGTGAGGCAGGCAGTGGAACCACTGAGCTAAATCCCCTGCTGCACTCCTATAAAATCTTTTGTTCTTGTTTGTTGCAACAGGGAATGAAGCCGGAGCTTTCACACTGAGCTGTATCCCTAGTTGGTTTTTATTTTTCATTTTGGGACAGGATCTCATTAAGTTGCCCAGTAGGGTTCGAACTTGGGATCCTTCTGCCTCAGCCTCCCAGAGTGCTGAGATTACAGACAACATTACCGCCCCCAGTAGGATGCTTGGTTCTTTATAGGTACTGAATCTAATTGTTTTTCCCATGCTGTGTTGCTAAAGTCTTGATTATTTTGATAATTTTGTCTTCTTAGGGCTTCTGTAAAAAATAATATGCTGTAAGGCAGGGGATTTAGCACAGTGGTTCTGCTGCCTGCCTTGCAAGCACAAGGTCCCGAGTTTGATCCCTGGTACCAAAAAAAAAAACAACAAAAAAACAAGAAAAAAAGGAAATGAAGCTTTAGCTGGGTGTGGTGGCTCGTGTCTGTAATCCCAGCACTTGCTCAGGAGGCTGAGGCAGGAGGATTGCTGTGAGTTCAAGACCAGCCTGGGCTATATAGTGAGTTCCAGATCAGTCTCAACTACATAGTGAGACCCTGTCTCAAAATACCAGAAAAAAAAAAAAGAAAAGATTGACTTGGGAGCTGAGTGCTACCGTTTTACATGAAAACTGAGAATGTCTTGTCAATAACAAGTTTTGGTTTTGCATACATTAAACACTGATTTATTTATTTAAGCTTTTTGAGGCAGGGTTTCACTCTGTAATCCAGGCTAGACTTGAACACATGGTGATCCTCCTGCTTCAGCCTCCCAAATACTCGAGTTACAGGCATTCACCACCATGCCCGGCTGGATTTTTGTATTTATGAATTAGCCATCAGTTTGTCTGTCTCCATTTAAAAACTCTAGAAATTCACTGTAGACTATTCCTAAGTCTGCATCTGTTGTTTAATCTATTTCTGTTTTGCCTGATACTCAGTTGGATGGATAGAGTCATAGTTTTTATTTAGCTCGTTGCAAAATCCAAATGTACATTTACTAGAGAAAAAAACAAGGCTGTTGACTAAGTTAAGGTGTTGTAAGGTGGGTTTTCATAAGAAGCACTGTTCTTCTATTCCCAGATTGCAGCAGGTGAGGAGATTCCTTTGAGCCAGGAAGAAATCCTGCTGCAAGGCCATGCCTTTGAGGCCAGAATCTATGCAGAAGACCCTAACAATGACTTTATGCCGGGGGCTGGACCGTTGGTACATCTCTCTACACCTCTCGCAGATCTTTCCACTAGGATCGAAACTGGAGTACAGCAAGGTATAGTGAAAGAAAATGAAACATCTTGCTTTTTTTTGTTTGTTTGTTTTTTTAAGACAGGGTCTCACTATGTAGTTGATGGTGACCTGGACCTCAATATGTAACCTTAGGCTGGTCTCAAATTCACAGCGATCCTCCTGCTTCAGCCTCCCGAGTGCTGGTATTACAGGCGTGAGCCACCATGCCTGGCTATGTCTCACTCTTATTAAACTTTTAATACACTTTTTTCTTTTGAGATCAGAGTGGCATTATACTACTCAGGCTGGTCCAGAACTATTGGGGTCAAGTGATCCTCCTGCCTCAGCCTCTTCAGTAGTTGAGGCTACAGGTGTACATCATTACATCAGGCTTTAGTGCATTATTTATTTTGGGGTTGAGTCTTATTCTTTCATATGGGAATATCTAGCATGTTTTAAAATAAAGGATTTAGGGGCCGGGCATTTAGCTCAGTGGTTCTGCAGCCTGCCTCACAAGTGCAAGGTCCTTCTGGAATAATTATCGTTGTAGCGTAACTTGTATTTTAAACAATGTAGTATTGTTTTGCAACACAACATACTACATTACAAGCTAAGCAATAATAAAATAAATATATTCCATTTAAAAATAACATTCCATTTAAAATTTCACTTTAGGTGCTGGGCGTGGTGGCACACACCTGTAATTCCAGCGCTCAGGAGACTGAGGCAGGAGGATCGCTGTGAGTTTGAGACCAGCCTGGGCTACACAGTGAGTTCCAGGTCAGTCTCAACTACGTAGTGAGACCCTGTCTTAAAAAACAAAAAACAAAACAAAACAAAAAAACCCCAAAATAAAATTCCATTTTAAAATCACAGTGCAGCTGGGCATGGTGGCACACACCTGTAATCCCAGCACTTGGGAGGCTGAGGCAGGAGGATTGCTGTGAGTTTGAGACCAGCCTGAGCTACATTGTGAGTTCTAGGTCAGTCTCAGCTACATAGTGAGACCTAGTCTCAAAAATAAATAAATAAATAAATAAATAAAATCACACTGCAAGAGCTACCACAGTTCTGTATATGAAATGGTGGTCACAACTAAAAGTGTCCTATGTACAGGAACTTCTTAATGTTATTTTTCTATATTTTCTTTTTTGTAAAGGATTTTTGTTTAACGTATCTGAAAAGAATGCATATACAAAGATTGAGACAGGATGGTTCGACACTAATGAATCTGTAAGAATTAGGATCTTGCAAAGGTGGAAAAAAGTTACCTAAACATTTTTTGAAATTGGAAACTGAAACAAAACCAAGGTGCTAGAATCCCTGTTAGCCATTACTAGGAGGCTTCGTACGACTCTCTGTGTGCTTTTATTAAACTAGAGCATCTGGTTGCTGTCGGCACCCTCATGCACAGGTCAGAAATGAGGGGCTTCCTCACCCGGCCCCGCGGTGATGAGGGCCCTCCCCACACACTGCACAGCTTCTTATCCATCCTCACGACCTGCAGTGCCAGCTACCTCGTACGCATCGCCCTGTAGCACCGCCCTCAGGGCCCTCGGTGGCCAGGCGTTCAGCCAGGTTCTAGGGACCCCTAACCCGGGAGGGTCACGATCCCTGCTGAGCAGATAAGGGGGACGCTGCCTTGCAAACTGCACCCAGATGGTGTATTTCACTGTGGACAGCTCAGCAGCTGGACTCTGTCATCATTTTCTTCCCCTGCAGTGTCTGAAAGTCCAAGGGGGCTGGAGGTTTAGCTCAGTGGTTCCAGCACCTGCCTCACAAGCCCAAGGGTCTGAGTTCGATCCCGGTACCAAAAAAAAAAAAAAAAAAAAAAAAATAAAAAAAAAAAAAAAAAAAAAAAAAAAAAAAAAAAAAGAGAGGCCAGGGACAAAGGCCCATAGATAGAAGTCCAAGAGTATGTGGCTCTCACCAGTCTTATCTGTGACTGCATAGCTGTCAGAAACAGTCGGTTCATATTCAGGTAGAAATGTGTTTGTTGTATAGATAGCAGGAGGCATGTTTTGCTAACCATGCCATCATCAGCAAAAATCCTTAATTGTCTGCATAGTGGAAATCGTTTTTTGAGGTTTTGTTTTGTCTTTTTGAGACAGGGTCTCACTATATAGTTCAAACTGGCCTTGAACTCACTGTGTAGCGCAGGCTGGCCTCAAACTCAAGGCAGTCTCCTGCCTCAGCCTCCCAAGTGCTGGGATTGTAGGTGTGCACCACCATGCCTGGCTCTGGAATTAGTTTTGTATCAACTTGAAATATTTAGAACTTGACGTTGACCTCAGCTTCTCCGCTGGAGTGTTGGTAGCAGTTTGCTGGATCTTCTTCACTGCCAGAGGAGGGCACACACCTTTTTTCCCTCCTTTTCTTTTTGAAACAGGGTCTCCCTGCTTATCCCAGGCTGGCCTTGAATTCACCAACCTCCTGCCTCAGCCTCCCAAGCACTGGATATATAGGCTCCTTTAACCACGAGAACCACCCCGTGAGTAGGCGTAATTATCATCCTCACTTTCTGGGTGAGGAAATTGGACCACAGAGGAGCTAAATGACTCACCCAAGGTCATCCGGGATCTGAGACTTAGGCCTGGGCACCTGGCTCCAGAATCTGTCCTCTGAGCCACTGCCGTCTTCCATTTCAATCGAGAGAATAGTTATGCCGTGCGTGGATAGGGCAGTTCTGAGAACAGAAAGCTCTGTTAGACTGATCTAATCGGGACTAGTTTTTTAGAGGAAATCTGGAGTGAATTTAAGTAAGCAGATGTTATAACCCAGTGAAAAGTGAAGAAAAGGGAAAGCAAAAAATGTGTTAGAAACCGGGCATGGTGGTGCATGCGTGTAATTCCAGCCCTTGGGAGGCTGATGCAGGAGGATCGCTGTGAGTTTGAGACCAGCCTGGGCTACACAGTGAGTTCCAGGTCAGTCTCAACTACATAGCGAGACCCTGCCTTAAAAAACCAAAAAAAAAAAAAAAAAAAAAAAAAAAAAAAAAATTGTTAGAAGAACTGTAGGAGGATTGTGTGGCTGAAGGAAGGGGTCAGGACGGTGAATACTTGGAGATGCAGTCGGAGTCGTAGGTTGAGGGCAGGTTATAAAGCATCTTGAAAGTCAAAAAGAAGCATTAGGACTTAATGATTTTACAAAATTGGTAGCGTTCTGAAGGCCACCTTTGGCAGCTGGTAAAATTTTTCACTTGCTAGCAGAGCACGTTAGAAACACAGAAGGACGTGGCGGTAGTAAAGAATGGCCCTGTGCACAAGCAGAGCTCGCAGTGTGGTTTACGGGAGCTGCTCCGAGGATGGCAGGGATGTGAAACCGTGAAAGACTTCCGGGTTCGCATGTTGGCCCTGGGAGGAATAATGGGGCCCACAGAGCTCCCCCAGCCCTGCCCCCCCCGGAACCGCTGGTGCATCTGTTGGTAGTGTTCAGAGAGGTCAAGATGACCTGTGAAGGTTGGAAAAGAATCCTACAGCAACGGCCTTTACCTCTTCCACTTGAACCATTTCTAACCAGTTGTGCCGTGGTTTGGTCTTGTTCTCTAGAACTGTAATCATAGTAAGAATAGCTGTCGTTTGCTTATCGGCCCTGCCAGGTATGGCACTGGGCACTTTATTGTCACGCCTCCCGACAACTCTACGGGAGAGTGGAATTTTTTCATTTCACCTATGAGGGAACAGAGTGGGGAGGGGCGGGGAATGCTAAGAGAGAAGTGAGGGTAACTGCGAGCCTGAAAGGAGTTCGAGTTTGAGCCAGAAAGAAGACAGAGTAGGAGAAAGCCATTCTGCGTGTCACTGAATCCCTGTGTTAGCAACTGGCAGTGCTAGGTGGCCGCATCCTCATTAACTTTGGACAAGTTTATCCTGTCATTGTGATTAGTACGCTTTTGCAGTACGTAATGATTGCACTCAGCATGGGGAGCTGGTACATTCACACAGCACATCTGGATTCTCTTTACTTCCCCTTCCTTGCCTCTTTCTCTCTACACCCTCCTATTTACAACAACAACAACAACAAAAACCAAAAACACTATCTCCTGCCGGGCATGGTGGCGCATGCCTGTAATCCCAGCACTCGGAAGGCTGAGGCAGGAGGATCGCAGCGAGTTCGAGACCAGCTTGGGCTACATGGTGAGTTCCAGGTCAGTCTCAACTACGTAGTGAGACCCTGTCTCAAAAAAAACAAAAAACTATTTCCCTGGTTCCTATTATCTATCTTGTTTTGTTCTTTATGGACGAGTTTTTGAGCCTCTGCACCTCAGCTGCCTCACAAATAGAACAGTGGTAATGGTGCTACCTTTCAGGAGTTTGTGCGAACTAAGTGTGAAACGTACATAAGCAGGATGTCTTGCTTGTCCCGTCTTAGTTTTGAGAGTCTGCTGTGGTTTTCCATTTCAGGAGATGATGTTTCCGTGCATTATGATCCCATGATCGCAAAGCTAGTTGTATGGGCTGCAGATCGCCAGGCGGCCCTAACGAAGCTGAGGTACAGCCTTCGTCAGTTCAACGTGAGTGGCCCTGGGCTGTGTGGATGACCCTGAGCTCTTTGGCCAGCATCAAAGGTCATCCTTTGACCTGTCAGAGCCGTGGTCTTACCAGCTTCTGTCCACCCATTGAATGTATGCGTCAACAGAATGATTTCACATGGGGGGATTTCCATGGGTTAGAAATAGGCTTTGAGGACTTCTAGATTTCAGTTAGGAAAGAAAGATTGCGGAAGTAAAACTACCAGTGTCAGTGTTGTATTTGTGTGAACTCTAGTGATTCTATACTGGCCAGCCACGTGAGCACTGCCTACAGTCTAGAAATTTTTCTCCAAAGGAAAATAATTATGTTTAGTTTTGTTTGCTCGACAGTTATTTTTCTGCAACGTGTTAATTTCCTTGGTGCAGAAAGTCCCACAGCACATTGATTTAGCTTCGCAGAAGAATTTATTAATAAATGACACTGAAATTGGTACCTGTTCCTTGTTTGATCAAACCTGCTTTCTGTGGCTCCAACCACACTGGCCTCCTTGCCGTTCCTCGCCGTGTGCCTGTCCCCTCTTCCAGTGTCCCCTCTTCCAGTGTCCTCTTCCACTGTCCCCTTTTCCAGTGTCCCCTCTTCCAGTGTCCCCTTTTCCAGTGTCCTCTTCCAGTGTCCTCTCTTCCAGTGTCCTCTTCCAGTTTTCTCTCTTCCAGTGTCCTCTTCCAGTGTCCCCTCTTCCAGTGTCCCCTCTTCCAGTGTCCCCTCTTCCAGTGTCCCCTCTTCCAGTGTCCTCTTCCACTGTCCCCTTTTCCAGTGTCCCCTCTTCCAGTGTCCCCTTTTCCAGTGTCCTCTTCCAGTGTCCTCTCTTCCAGTGTCCTCTTCCAGTTTTCTCTCTTCCAGTGTCCTCTTCCAGTGTCCCCTCTTCCAGTGTCCCCTCTTCCAGTGTCCTCTTCCAGTGTCCCCTCTTCCAGTGTCCCCTCTTCCACTGTCCTCCTCCAGTGTCCCCTCTTCCAGTGTTCTCTTCCAGTGTCCCGTCTTCCAGTGTCCTCCTCCAGTGTCCCCTCTTCCAGTGTCCTCTTCCAGTGTCCTCTTCCAGTTTTCTCTCTTCCAGTGTCCCCTCCTCCAGTGTCCCCTCCTCCAGTGTCCCCTCTTCCCGTCCCCTCTGC